GGGAAAGAGAGAAGAGGAAGACGATGAAGCGGTTTCTGTTTTTGCCGCAGCAGAAGATGCTACTGGTTGGGTCTGGAAGGAGAAGCCAAAGAAGTCGTTGTTGTTCTTCTTCTCTTCCTCCTGTCTTCCTTTCTGGTTACTGCCATTCGTGATGAGAGCTCCCGTTGTCGGAGAGGCAAGAATCTGAGAAAAAAAGAAAATCAAAATTACACAAAAACCAAATACCAGAGAAGAAAAACATCATCAGTGAATCCAAATTCAACATCTGTTCCTCTGTTTGATTAGAACTCGGACAACAGGGAAAATGGTTCTTTTCCAAGTACTGAAACATCGATCCTTACTTCGAATCGACTTCTTCCAAAATCCGATTCATTTTCACAGCAACTAAAATATCAATTTCTGGCAGATAGAGATATATATATATATAGAGAGAGAGGGACCAAGAATCCAGAAACCCAGTCTCAAAGTTCATCTTTTTTCCAAAAACCAGATCACAGATTCACCTCAGAACGCCAAGAAAACGTTTTCTTTCCAGAATTTCGACAAGAAAAGGGAAGAAGGGAGCTTACGTTAGCAGAAGAGGAAAAAAAGGCAGGGGAGTCGAGCAAAACAGAGGGGCTGAAACTGGAAGGAGAGACGAGAGATGGAGAGATTGCGAGAGAAGAAGGCGCGAAAGATTTGAACTTCGGGATCTCAAGATCTTCAAGAGATGTTCTTTGGTGTTGTCCCCAGTTAACAGAAACACCCATATCCTGTCTGGTGCCTCTGCCGTTTTCCATAGAAAGGAGAGAAGAAGCAGCAGCCATAAGGAAAAATGGTTTTTTTTTGTAAATGGAGACAACCTCAGATATTTATAGAGGCTTTAAAACTTGGAGCAGAAGAGGAGAAGATGTACAGATGCTATGTCCTGTCTGTGTATGTGCGTGGTCTGATCGGTGAAATTGAAGGGTTTTTTTTTTAAAAAAAAATATTTTTAGTGTGGGGTCTTCGTCCATGGAGTTTCTGAGAAGGTGAGGAGAAAGTTTGACCGTAGAATACGTAGAAGAAAATGAAGGATTGGATTGGATGGTCAAATCTTGTGGCCTTGACTTTTTGACCAAAGGTTAGGCGGCCTCATCAGCTTCACTCTCCATTCCTCTTTTTACCATTGCCACGTGTCCCTTTTGGGTTAATTTTATAATTGAAATAAAAAGAGATACATTCGACGTCGAGTCAGGTTTTGACAAGAGAGTATCGTCTCTAAATCTAAAATCTAAAATCCAAATGTACAGTTAGTAGGATAGAAGATATAAAGTTTTAATGAAGCGGGGAGCAATCTAACCAATGAGCTTTTAGGACGTTGACCGCGTTGATCTCAATAAAATTCCGAAAATACCCACGTAAGTGAGGGCCCACTCCCGGACTCGTGGGAACCGCGATTACATTCGCTTGGAAGAGAGGTTTGAAACAGTTCTTTTACTATTTAATTGATTATCTCATTATTAGAAGAGAGATTGGATTAGTGTACCACAGTCACAATATCAACTAAATTGGAATCCAGTAATATCACATTCAGAATTTCAAATTAACACCCGAATTCAATCAATCATATCTATCATCAATCACTTCATCTGTTGTTCATCGACATTGAAATGATCCTCTCCTCACTTTGTGCCTGATGATGCTCTATGTTACATTGCAGAGTTATGGTTGTAAAATAATACAAGATTAAATTATACAGTCAACTATGTAGAAGAAGGTATTGCTGTTATATACAATGATGGCTGCATCATCCTTCCTTTTTTTTCTTGTTAATGCCCTTAACGCCTAAACCTTTTTTAGGATTTCTCATCTTTACAATAACATCTTCAGATCAAAAGTTCAAGAATGATCAGACTGTTATGTCTTCATTCCAATGATGATCAAGCTCCTCTAATTGCAGGTTAACAGCGATATAGTTTTCTAAGTATCACAATCTTTCCAAATGACATATGAACTCAACTCAGTCAGTTTCTCTACAAATTACTGAGAGACAAGAGACCATGCAATAAAGCAGTAAAAGGCATACAACTATATGCAAACCCACATAGTTTTATGTTTCAAAACATCATATGATCAAATAGAATTACCGTATAAAGATTACTGGGAAACCGACTGACTCTATCAAGAACAAGAACCTGCTCTTCTGCTAATCTGAATCCGAATCACTGGCATTGTAACCTGAGAGAAATTGACAGAAACCGGTATAGTATATTAAGGGGATTTTGTCAACAAGAATGAATACACGTGAAAAAAATTCAAGACCTGGATGTTTATCCTTGACACTCCACACTGAAGAACGGATTTTTGATGCCTTGGTAATCCAAAGTCTCCCCTGTGGTATCAACAATGGCAGACAAAAAAATGGTTTTTTTTTTGCAGCCGATAAGAACTGAATTCTAGGCCTACTTAAGTAGAGCATTTACAAATTCTTCATCTGTGAGGATTGGGTTCGTTGAATTCAATGTAAAACCAAAGGAAAACCAGTTGAATTCGAACCCCTTTTGCCGGGGCGTTAAAACCCAGAAAACCCGAAACTTAACAATGGCCACAGTAGAAATCGAACAGAGTTCAACGATTTCGAGAAGAGATGAAGAATGGAACCTTTCGAGCGTCCCTGGGGACTCCATAGCCGGTGTAATACATCTGACCCACCAAGACCTGCATGCCCGTGTCGCCAGCCTTCGCTTCCTGAAGCGTATCCTTGAACCACCGCTTAGCGCAATCGGCGACCACAGCCGACAGCGGAAAGCGGCGGCTGC